GAAATCTACTTTTTACTTCTCGAAGTAAAGCATCCATTGTTGAATAAACAAGTGGTTCAATTGGATTAAATATTTCCATTTCACCTTGTGTTCCATAAATTGCTTGATAAGGTTGACCATTTGCCCAACATACAGTTATTAATTGTGGCATTGATTTACCCCATGAATATGTATGACCAGGTGTATCAATCTATCATTTTTGAAAAGAAGAATCGAAAATAAAAAGAATAATAATAATTATTTCAATTGACAAACTTCAGGAATGACACGAATTCCACGTAATCGAGCATGTTCAATAACATCAACAACATCTGCTTGTGTATATACATGATCTGGTGAATAAGCACCCTATAAATATCATTAATTTAAACTTAAAACATAAAAAGTAGTATTATTGAGTTACTGCTCGAGATAGATTTGGAAAAGTTGTACTTTCAAATGGAAATGATTGATCATCTACAAGATGCCAATGAAATACATTTAGTTTATTATATGACATTACATCCTACAATGGTGTCAAAAAGAAACTGGTCTAAATAATAAGTTTCATATGATAAACTTACAAGATTCTTTTTAATAATTGATACTGGTAAAAAATGACGTGCTGTATCAAGCATAACACCACGATGTTGAAAACGAGGACTATCAATAATAGTCACAGAACTATTAATAACAACCTTTTTTGAAAGAAGAATTTAGATAAAGAACAAGAATAAGTAGATAAAATGATGATGTATTGAAAGTAAATATACATAGTTTTGTTGATTAATATAGATGAGTTGTGAAAATGTTTCAAGACCACGTAATAAACCCCAAACAGTACTAGCTTCAACAATTGCCATTTGTTGATTGATCGTTAAAGTATCTAAGTATGAATGAGAAATAATCAAATGACATCATTTTCGTCATATGATAATATTTGTTACATACAAGTTTCATTTGAATTTTGTTGAATATATTCTTCACATGGAGAATTATCACGTATATTTAGTGTTAAACTTTGTAAAATGTTATTAGCATCAGATGGTGGTTGAAGCATTGAAAGTTTTGGTGGAAAGAAAATTGGTTTATATCGTTCAATAGCTTTTGCAATAATATCACATGTTTGAATGTTAGAATGGACCATAATATCATGAGGACGAATATAGAGTAAATCATCGGAAGTAGTGATTTGTTGTGGATGTGGCCATACTGCATTTGGTGGTGAACGTTCTCCCTGAAAATTTTATAACGTATTGAACAATTCTTCTTTCTCGATATGATTGCTTAAAAAATAAAGTATTTTTGAAAGATAGTTTACAACTGCTAAAGAGAATTATTGCACTAGAATGATTGTTTTTTGGAGAATTTCATCTCGACTTCGTATGATATTATGTAGTTATCATACTTTGAAACATATCATTTTCTTATCAGTCTCCAGACATAAATACATTTTGCATTGTATTATAAAATAGTTTTTTACGAGAAAATTAAAATAATGAAGTATAGTTTACTTTCAATGGTAGCCGAACAGCAATGAATTCAATTTCAGCTGAAATAATTCCAATCAAAAAACTTATCAGCAATTCATATTGTAAGACTTTCATTTTTTTTCAACTATCATTTATGTCGTTTTTGTCTCAAATGACTGATAAGTAAAGGAATTCTGTGTAAATACTGCTGTTATCTTACTTTTAATGGATATTTTACTTCAATATATGTAATTTCACATTGTACATAAATAAACAATGCTAATAGAAATACAATAGATGCCATGGTGGTTGATTGTCGAAGAAAATTTTTTATCTTTTGTCTTTTTTTTCTTTTTATAATACAATTTTATTATTTTATTATCACTTCGATTTATACTGTGTTCTTATCACTTCAATTTATATTATTTTCTTATCACTTCAATTTATGAGTTAAAATGATAAAATACAACACAACATAAAAGATTATAGAGTTGATTCTATTATAAGATTTACTATTATGTTTTTTTCCTTGTTTAACAACTATTTGAATACTTTTACATTATAAATATAAGGAGAAATTCAAAGGGAAGGTTTCTATTTTATTGATCTCTTCAAAGACAAAATACAAGCACACATACATTTATATGTTTGAACAATTTCTTGTTTTTTTTTTCTGAATCAATTAAGATATTATCAAATAGAAATGAATACTATTCATACCTTAATATCAGAGAAAAGAAACGGAATAACAATAACAAAGAGCAAGAACGTTAGTGATCAAGTCAAAGAAGAGTTTTTGTGAGATAATTTTTCTATTTTTTTAAGTCTTGTTTTATAATGATAATAATAATCTTGATTTTGAAAAACGCGTCATAGTTTTCGCGCATAATAACAACAACAAGTGATAATAATGAATGAACGAAAACAAACAAAACAGAAGAAAAGAAAAACAAATGAAAACGAGTAAATAGAAGTTAACAAAACAAAAAAAAAATGTTTCCAGATAATTGAACTGGTCATGATAATGGAAAAAAAACATAAAAGACAAAATCTGTGTGACTGTGCTTGCTTGTATTTTATAACGACAAGAAAGGAAAAAAACTAAAGAGAGAGAGAGAGAAAGAGACAAAAAAAACGGACGCTTTTTTTTCTCTATGAAGTAGTTGAATTTGTTACAGCTTGTTTAGCAACAAATATTTGTTTAGCTTGATGAGCTTGAAGTACAGCAATAGCTTCTTCAACCTATTATAAAATAAAACAAAAAAAATGATGTTATGTATTTCTTTTTTTGTAATAATTTTGTATAACATACTTTAGCTTTAAGTGATTCACGTGATTCAAGCATATGTAGAAGTTCTGTATTATCAATTTCAAGAAGCATACCAGTTATTTTACCAGCTAAATCTGGTTGCATTTGTTGAATTAATGGAAATAAACGTTCACCTAACATTTGTTTTTGTTCTTGTGGTGTTGCATTAGCAAGACCAGCTGGTGTTAATGGTTCTTGACCAGCAACAACTATTGAATTATGAAAAGTACCTGCGTTCTATAATGAGAAAAATTATTTTTTTTTTTGTTGTTTAGAAAAAGCAAATGAAAAAAAAGAGGCAATTTTACATTTGATGGTAAATTTCGTGCTGTACGTGTATAAGCTGTATTTTGTTGTTGTAAACCGGTTTGAGGTCGAACAGCACCACCGGCCATCATGTGACTTGGTGTTGGTCGTGTTCCCATTGGCATAGCTGATCGTGCTGATAGATTAGTCATTGCACCTGTTCGATGTTGTGCTGCAGCCATTGATTGTGGTATGTGCATACCAGTAATCATCTGTGCACCTAGTTAAGAAATATTTTTTTTTTTACAAGATAAAGTCTTCGAATGCGACGCACCAATATTTTGCTCACAAGTAGATCTCAGGAAGACTAGAAGAAGTCTAAAAGGGTTTGTCTCCATAAGCTGTTCTTCTCGAGTTTTACGATCATTTTTCTGCTATATAAAAAACATCCATTTATGAATTTTGGACTATAGATAAATCTTAGGATTACTAGAATATTCTAAAAATTTCAGCTCAAAAGAATGTTTTCTTCTTGAAATATTAGATATTCAAAAAATAAACGCTATGTGTCATAAAGAAAGTTAAAGGTCGATGAGTGTTTTCAACATATAAAAATTTTCCGAATATATATGCCTCGTCTAAAGTAGAAAACTGAATCGTAACTCAACGAATGTTTTTAGATTTTTTTTCTAGTCTCATTGAGATCTGCTTGTAAGCAATCTATCGATTTAATCAGTGTGTCACATTTGAAGATCTTTATCTCGTTAATGAAATTGTTTGTTGATAATTTAAGTTATACCTGGTTGTGGTCTCATACCACCGGCTGTTCCGGCTCCTGACCAACGTGGTGTTGGTCGATATGATGGTAATGCTGCTGGTGGATAGAAGTTACGTGGTTGTGATGGACCCATTTGTGTTGGTAAATATGACATCATACCGGCCATATTATTTGGAAATGGTAATTGAATTGGTGGTGGTACTCGTGATGTTGCTATACGTTGCATATGTTGATTAGCTAAATGCATACGACGTTCTTCTTTTCGTTGTGCTAAAGCAACATAAAGTGGTTTTGATCCTACAATTGAACCATTCATTTCTGTAACAGCTTTTGTTGCTTCATCAGGTGCACTAAAACAAACGAAACCAAAACCTTTGGAACGGCCATTTTCAGACATAATCTAAAACCAAAAAAAGAAAAAGAAATAAATTATGCAAATTAGAAAAACAAAAAAAAGAAATTCGATTAAGTTTACCTTAGCACTTGTTATAGTGCCAAATTTTGAAAATTCTTTTCGTAATTTTTCATCATCAATCGTATCATCTAAATTTTTAATATATAAATTGACACCTTGATATTTATTCATTCGTTCTTGACGTTGTAATTCTTTTTTACGTTTTATTTCTGATTGTCGTTCATTTTTTTTTTGAAAACGTCCAACATATATTTGTTTATCACCTATTGAATAACCATTTAAATTTTGAACAGCCTATATTAAAAAAATAAAGAAAAAGAAGAAATCTAATATATAATAATAAGAAATATTTAATAATTTACTTCTTCAGCTTCTTCAGGACTTTCAAAACTACAAAAACCAAAACCTTTTGAATGACCATTATCATCATTAACAACCTTAATATTTACAAGAAATTTATTTATTTATTGTTTTTTTATTATTTAAATTAATTCTACCTTACAACTTGTTATTTTACCATGTTTTGAAAAAAGTTCACGTAATTTTTCTTCATCTAATTGATCACCAAAATTTTTTACAAATATATTTGTAAATTTACGTGGTCCACCAGCATCAGCACGTTGATTTCGTGACATAAATCGACCGACATATACTTTTTTATCAGCAAGTAACATACCATTAACTTTATTAATAGCATTATCTGCTGCTTCTTGTGTTTCAAAATGAACAAAACCAAAACCTTTTGATTGTCCATTTTCATCAGTCATAATCTATATTTTACGAAATAAAATATTGGTTTTAGTCTTTTTTTTTTGTATTTAAATAAATAAATACTTTGCATGATAGAATATTTCCAAAAGCTGAGAATGTATCATAAAGTGATTTATTATCAATATTCTTATCTAAATTTTTAATAAACACATTGCCAACACCTGATTTACGTAATGCTGGATCACGTTGTGACCACATTATACGTAATGGACGACCGCGAAGTAAATCAAAATTCATTGTATCAAGTGCACGTTCGGCTAAAAAAATAATAAAATATTGTTTTTTGTTTTTGCATTTATTTAATTTCGACTTTTTTCCGTAATGATTATTCGCATAAAGAAAATCGTTTGCAAATAGGATTTCAGGGAAATAAAATCAAAGACGTCTAGAAAACTTAATGTGTAGTTTTTCAACATTGAGAACCTGAAAATAAAAATTTCTTTTGATTACAAAAAGACATATCTTCAAGCTCTCCGCGATATTTTTTTGACTGAATTATGTACATTTTAAGCGAAATTCAAAGTTCGTTTTCTATCTAGTTTTCTCTTACGACATGGCGAAAAAATTCTTTCGAAGTGTTTGTTAATAATGATGTAGTTCCGTTGAAAAATGTCGTGTAGAGCTTGAAGACAGCAATTGCTCTATGTAATCAAAAGAAACTTTTATTTTCAGATTCTGAACGCTGAAAAACTAGGTTTTGAGTTTTCTAGAAAGATCTAGGAAATCCTATGAAGATTTTATTTCCTTCGAATCCTCGTTAGAAACTAATTAAATAACTATTCGAATTCTTTATACGAGTTATCATTATGGAAGAAAAAAATCGAAATTAAAGTCTGTATGATCAATTTTTGAAGTCATTGTATTTACCATCAGCTGGTTGTTGAAAATTAACATAAGCATAGCCAAGTGATCGTCGCGTGATCATATCACGACAGACTCGAATTGAAAGTACAGGTCCAGCACTTGCAAATTTATCGAATAACATGGCTTCAGTAACATCGGGATGAAGATCACCTATTATAAATTTAATTATAAAAGAATTTTCAAAAAAAATATTTCAACTTACCAACATATAATGAAGCCATTGGATAACTCGGAGCTCCTGCACTAATATTAGTTGCTGCCATATTTTTTTTCTTTTTTTGTCGTTCACCGTTGTTGTTGTTGGTTTTTTCGACTTTTTTTAATTTTGTATTATTATGGGAGAAAACGAGAAGTTACGGAATAGTTCAAGTATTTTCTTTTGAAAGAGATTTTACACTTTTTTTGGCTCACACAAAGGTGAAATTTAAGAAAAGTTTTTCGTTTTTTTATACTTTTTTTTTTTATACCAACAAAAAAAACGGCGCACACACACAACTACATACACACAATAGTAAGTGATGAAAGAGAAGAAAAAAAAACAGATGAAAACCTGATTAACGTGGATAGATACAGTCATGATGATTTACAATGTAGGAAGGTTGATGAGAAAGAATTATTTCAATTTAAGTACATAGATTAAAAAAAAATACATAAAGATATCATTGAATTAATTATATCTGTTAGATTATATTAAATAAATTTAATTTTATTCGAATTATTATTCTTTTATGAAGGATAATATGTAATTTTACATTGGTTAATAATCATCAACCAATCAAATAAGAACATGAATAAATGAAATTCTTTTGCTTCGAAGGTGTTTCGAAAGGTTTTTATCTTGAAATCAGCTAAAATGTCGACTATTGCTGATGGGAAAACAATTGAAAAATTATCATCTATGTTAATTGATACATCATTACCACTTAAACTTCGATTTCGTATTCTATTTACGTTAAAAAATCTCGATAGTCAAGGTCAAAAAAATCAATTAGAAAAAACATCGGATGTAGTCGAAGCTATTTCTCGTGCATTCAATGATACATCAGCATTACTTAAACATGAATGTGCTTATTGTCTCGGTCAAATGGATAATAAAAATGCTATTACGAAACTTATTCAAGTATTAAATGATTCAAATGAAGATGCAATGGTACGACATGAAGCAGGTTTGTAATAAATAGAAAAAAAAAATGATATCATACAATAGAATATTTATTATTTCAGGAGAAGCATTAGGTGCTCTGGGGTGTTTTGATAATCAAGATGTAATTGATGCTTTAACTAAACAAAGTCAAAATCCACGAGCAGAAGTATGATAACAAAGAATTGTTTTTTTTTTAAATTATTTTACTACAATCATTTCTTTTAGATTTCTGAAACATGTCAAATTGCACTTGATCGTTTAGCATGGTTAAGAAACATGGCATCTAATGAATTATTTTCGAATTCAATAGAGAAAACCTATTTAACTATCGATCCAGCTCCGGCTTTAACTTTAACAACAATTGATGAACTTACAAAAATTTTACTTGATGAAAATCGATCACTATTTGAACGTTATCGTGCTTTATTCGCTTTACGTAATATTGGAAGTGATGAAGCTGTACTTGCCATATGTGAAGGTATTTTTATTTTTATTTTTAATTTAAATCAGAATTAAAGCTGTCATGGCTGAGTGACTGCGCTGTTCGACACATATCCATAAGGTACTATGTTTCAAACTTCAGTACCACCAATTGTGGAATGACCGTGGACAAATCACTAACGGCTATTTATCTCGTTTCATCTGTCGTATAGCATGGTGATTATGTTGAGCCATATACCTTCTCTTATAGCTAGTAGGTAGTTAGTTCACAGGATGTACAGAGAGCTCAAGCAATTTAGTGCAAGAATTCTGCACCAAGCTGGTCTCTTGTGCAAAGCTACAGCTAGTGATAGTTGTACGAAATAAATTGGACAATTGAATTTACCGCAAGGTAGCTGAAAGGTAGAGATATTCTTATGCTTTCCTTCCAATATAGAAACTTTGGGAAGAATTAATTATTGTGATTGATTTAAAAACATATTCCGAACAAAAAAAAAAACATACATGAAATTTCGACAGATCTGACGATATACGTAAATTTGTGATAAGACACTTGGCTGCATAAATTAATAGCTTTTGACAAGTACTATCAAATAGTATATAGACACTCTTTCTTTTTTTTTAATCTAATCCGTATTTGAAAAAAAGAAAACAAGAAACATCTGATCAGTTTAGATTAGAAATGATTAATGTCAGAGGAAATTTTCAAATTTAAAATAATAGTAAAAAATTGAGTTTTGAATTTGCATTAGAAAGCTCAGGAAATTCTCTATAAAAATATTTTAAAAGCTTCCGATTGACACATACAATAATTAAACTGTAATAACTATTCGAGATGATCAAAAAAAAAAATTTTTTTATTCTTAGACAAATGAAGTTAATTTTCTTATAAAAATGTGCAATCGGTAGAGTTTTGAATGGGATAACTGCTCATACCCATGCCATACGTTTTTTTTTTGCACTATCACCGATATATCGACAGTAGATTGCCGATCAAAGAATTACTATTGTTTGCTCGATTTGTTCTTATATTTTTGTTACTATTCATCTCTAGTGATAACATACAAGTGACAAAAAGCATATAGTAAACAAAATTTTAAATATGTGTTTACTTAACAAACTATATTCTTTTTATAGGTTTCCAAGCATCAAGCGCTTTATTTCGTCATGAAATTGCTTTTGTACTTGGACAACTTCAATCAATAATTTCAATTCCAGCACTTCGTCAACAATTATCAATACTTAGTGAAAATTATATGGTACGACATGAATGTGCTGAAACACTTGGTTCAATTGGTACAGATGAATGTCGACATATTCTTGAAACATATTTAAATGATAAAGAACGTGTTGTACGTGAAAGTTGTGAAGTAGCTTTAGACATAAGTGATTATGTGAACAGTGCTGATTTTCAATATTGTAATGGATTAAAACTTGTTGAGTCAGAATGTTGTTAAAGTTTGACTGTTGGTTTTTTTCTATTTTCCTTTAAAAGAAATAAAAAAAAGACCATGATAAGCAACAGTTATCTGTTAAAGTATAAAATATTGTTTTGTTTTCTTCAGATCTAAGAAATGACAATGGAGGTATGAATAAGAGAAAAAATTCTTCTGTGTTGCTTTTCATATATATATATCTAATCACAGTAATTTTCTCTTTGTGTTATATTGATCTAATTTATGTGATAAACTGAATTTGTATTTGATAATAATCTTCATAATAATGTTGTTGCTAAACATGTCTATATCACATATGCTTGCTTATGCTCTCTAGATTTATTGTCATCATCACTTTTTTCTGTATTATCAATAATACTTCTTTTGTTCTTAACAATTTTCGAACAAATGCATCCCGTAAGTATATATACTAATTTAATCTTTGTTTTCTATGGTTATTATTGCCATTTGATTGTTAAATATTGTACAACAATTATTCTATTATTTTCATATTTTTCAAGATATTTAACCAAAACAATCGCAAATTAATCAGTTTGATAGCACTTATTCTACAAACAACTAGTATTGTTCTTGTACTACGTTATTCACGTACACGGAAAGCTGAACCATATATATCATCAACAGCTATTGTTGCTTCAGAATTTCTCAAAGGATTAATTTGTATTATTCTTGTTTGGTTTGAAACAGGTATATGTAGATAAAAATAAAACATAGTTCTTTTTCTAAATCTATAGAATTGCAATTAGATTGTTCATTGAATCGTTTGATAAAAAAATTACATGATGAAATCTATGGTAAACCACATGAAACATTAAAATTAACTATACCAAGTGGATTATATGCTATTCAAAATAATCTTCTTTTTATTGCATTATCTTATTTAAATGCTGCAACTTATCAAGTGACATATCAATTAAAAATTTTAACAACAGCACTTTGTTGTGTTTTTATGCTTGGTAAAAAAATAGAAAAACATCAATGGATATCTTTATGTATGCTTGCAATTGGTGTTGCATTTGTTACAGTAAGACAAAGATGAAATAGGAAAAAAAAAAGTAATTTGAAATATTTGTAGTGGCCATCATCAGATGAAGGTAATAAACGTTTATCAACACAAACTCCAAAATCTTGGTTACAACAATTTATTGGTTTGGGTGCTGTATTAATGGCAACCTTAACATCGGGTTTTGCTGGTGTCTATTTTGAGAAAATACTCAAAACTGGACCTACTTCTGTTTGGGTTCGAAATATTCAATTAGGTTAAAATTAATATACCACATATATATATATTAATAATCTAATTATTATTTTATAGCTATATTCGGAACTATTTTTGGTTTAGTAATTGTCTATATTTTTGATTATAAAGCTGTGATGGAAAAAGGCTTTTTCCAAGGATATTCAACAGTTGTATGGATTGTTATTTTTCTTCAAGTAATCAAAAGCGAAAAGCACAAAAACTTGATCTTTGAATTGAATTATTTAAGAGAGTAATTCATGGAGTATACGAGGCATTTGATAAAAAAGAAATTTTCTTTTTTTTTGTATGCATCCAACGCATCGATGTCGAAAGCCATCAAACCCAAAATTTTAACGTCCAATACCTTTTCTTTTCAAAGTTAGTCAATACTAAATTTTTACCACTAACATATCCTTATGGGAAAAAATAGTAAAAAATATTCTCTAAAAAGTTGTGTATGTTTTCATTTCAACGAATCATTCAAATTCTTTTTTATAAACTATGCTAAAAGAGAGAGAAGTAAAAACTGAACAAAATGAGATAGTTCAATTTAATCGTGTTGGTTGACTCAAGTTTTATGAGATCAAGATGAATGAAAAATGGCTCTTTTCATGAATCAATAATTTATATTTTCAGTGTTAAAACTAGATTGAATTAATAACATTTTAGGAAAATTTTTTTCTGTCAAGAACTGACTCCTGGTGGACTATAGGTGAATTGTTCGCAGGAAAAAAATTTTCTAAAATGTCTTGGATTCAATGAAGCTTTGGGCGCTGATTGTCAATGTTGCATTTATTTTGCTTAACAATTGTATCATAGCAATAAAAACTGTTAAAAATATTTTTCCTCCTATTGAAAAATTATCTAAAATCATTATATAGGAGAGAGAGATCTGAATCCCGTTTCTTCCTGAAATACTATTTATTTTTGAATATTTTTTGCAATTTTGTAGAGAATAAAAAGTTGCATAGCATATATAGAATTCAACTTGGAACTCTCTGATTCTGAATTCCGACAGGAGATAAATTGTTATCAAATGAATATTTTAGGCTCATCAAAAGTGCCATTTTTTCATTCATGTTGGCTTTATAAAACTTGAGTCGATCAGCACTATTATATTAAAATGGTTCAGTTTTTAATTCTGTCTTTTAGTATAACTTATTTAGCAAAAAAATTGAATGATTCATGAAACGAAAACAACACGCACAACTTGTGAAGAGTATTTTTTTTTGTCGTTGTTTCTCATATGGATACCATAGTGACAAAAAGTCGGTATTGACTAACTTTGAAAAGAAAGGATATTGGACGCTAAAATTTTGGGTTTAGTATTTTCACACATCAATGCATTGAATGCACACGAAAAAAAAACTATTTTTTATCGAATGCCTCGTATATTGGCGTCATACTCAATGATCTCATAATTCCTCTTTTTATCTTTCTATAGGCTATTGGTGGTTTAATAATAGCTGCTGTGATTAAATATGCTGACAATATTATCAAAGGTTTTGCTACTTCTCTTTCAATTATTCTTTCATCAGCTGTTTCATATTTCATTTTAAATGATTTTATACCCTCATTGTAAGAAATTAATTTTCTTTTCATGAATATTTTTTATAGATTTATTCTTTTTTTTTATATTTAGATTTTTCTTTATCGGTGCAATGTTAGTTATAACGGCTACATTTCTTTATGGATGGGAAAGAAAAGTGAAACTGATACCACTAAATGATCAAGTACGCATTTAAAGGGTGATAGAAAGACAGAAAGAAAATAGATAAATCCTTTCGAAAACGTTTATTTTCTTTTGTTGATAAATGAAATCTCGTATTATTCCTATTTAGAAACGATGAACTTTTAACAAGAAAAAAAAATATTTATCTTCTAAATTAACATATATCTAATATTTGTTATCGTAACTTTGTGTTCATATTCTTAATATTGGACATTATCTTACCAATAAATATGATTAGGTGCTTTGTCGACATATTCATTATTATATAAGTATATTCGTGTGTATTCTGCTTATTTGTTTTTGTCATATTATGAGGCATGAAGATGGGTGATATTGTTTTGTAATTACATTTATTTTATATAGGAATTGATTAGTAATAAAAACTTTTATTTGAATATATAACATTCGACGTTTTTTCTTCTTGAAAATGAAGATATATCAATGTTGAGTCATTTTTATAATTTCAAGCGATAATATTTTTCAAGAAATAATAGAAATTAGCGTTTATGAACAACAAAAAAAAACCCTAATTTCAAAGAAAATCAGTTAGCATCATCGAAAGATTCTATAAGGAATGTTCAATCTATTGTAATAAACTAAAAACTAGATGAATTTATTGGATTCAATTAAAATGAAACAATTTATCGTATAGATAAATTATTGGCTTATATAAACAGTACTAATATAAAATAAGAAGAAAAATTCGAAATTATGATTCCTTATAATTTATTAAAATATAATAATTTATATTTTTTTAAATTGATTATTGCTTATTGCGGATTGAATATTTGCAATAGATTTTACTAATTTATGTAGAATTTATGCTGTCTTCTTACTTTTTCGCTTGTGCATTATATCAA